CAAGCACGAAATTTTCCAGTACCAATTTTTCTAATTTCAAAAATGGCAATAAATATTCCCATCTATTTTAACCCTTTAGGGAACGAGTTAAAAAAACTTCCGTATTGTAAACATTCTTCATATTATATTATTCACTACTATATAAAGAGGAAATATTTGAATTTTTAAATGTTTGTAACGAATAAACTCAAAAAGTACTGGACCAATTTATATGAAATTTGGTAAGTAAGTAAGATAGTTAAATATCCTGGAAAGGACAGAATAGTTTTTATCCCGGAAATCATCCCTTATGGGGGTGAAAATGGGGATGAAAGTAGTTATGGAGAATCAAACTAGGGACGAACCCCAGCCAAGCGAGGTTTCTTCGCTAGTATATTATATAGAACTTTTGCGAAAGATTTACCACTTAAAACATAATTACATATACTTATACTTAAATAAATCGAACATTACAATAATAGATATTTTTGTACTTTTTGTCGTTTGTTTTGTTACTCAGCATGAATAGTATTTTTATTAAAGTTACATCAGATTTAAACTTACAAATAACAAAATTATGTTAATATCAGCTAAGTCTGTGCGAGTAATACGGCATAGTGTATATATTTTTTTAACTCCTTCCGTTTCCAAGCACGATCATTCTTACCAGAGCAATCTCTCTCTTGAATAGCTATCTATCTATATATTTATGTAGCACAATATATTATTGTCAAACTTTAAAAATAGCAAAGCACCTGTATCAAACTTGCGACCACTGCCGTAGTGGACATAGTTTGTAAAACTCAGTAACTCAACTCGAAAATTAAAAACGCCAACTTTTATTTAGAACTTGTGATTCCTTAAATTGACATAACTTATTTATGAACCGGTTGAAATAAAACAAATACTAGATGTTAAGTAAAGCTTACCACAATACAATAGTGAAAACCGCAGCCAAATCGGTTAATCCCTTTCTGAGATTAACGAGCACAAACGCACAGACAAAAATTTAAAAATCATTGTTTTAGGTTCTATTACGTTAATAAAGACCCAATAATAGTTTTTCTCAAATATCTTCCATGTACAGACAGCAATCAGTTACTATTTTATTACATGTATATAGATATAATAACATCAACAATAAATACTGTCACATTCATTCAATTTTTGCATTTATTTCGGACTAGTTTCGTATTTTCATATCTATTTCGTTGTTACGAAAATATATAAAATCCTTTCCGCTCTTAAGCATTTCTCTTACTGAAAGTGGGCAATAAATTTTTAAAACGAGTATAATACGAGTGCATTTTAGGTGCATAAGTACTCAGGAATCATGCACCTACATTCGTACTGGCATTTCTTAAAATAACTGAATAGACAGTAATGTGTATACATTATTTAAACAACTACATATTTTTACTCGAGTAAGCAAAATTAAATGAAATGGCTTTCTCGTGTTCTATTATTATTATACGCAAATTTGAATCTTATTTGCTATATTCTTTGTGATTATTTTGCAGTTGTTGGTTATTTTTAATTAAATTACCTCGCTGGCTTAGTGGTCCGCTTGTACGTCTGCGAATCATGTATGAAGTTCCTATCTCGGGTTGGACATAAATGAGTATTCTAGGCACTTAGACAAGATGTGTCTACAATCTTTGTAGAGTATAATAGTGTAGAATAATTGCTATTCTATAGAAATGTATGGGGAATTATTATAAACATAAAGATTCTATAACGTAACGCTTTCTGTTCTTTCAATACGTATTTGGCAACTATTAATAATTGTCCTAAGAAGATGTTATATAGTAAATACAGAATATTATATTTAATGATAATGATTTTTGTGTGGAGACAGTCGGAGGGCTGGACATGAGGAGTAACATAAGCTACTTTTTACCGCGGGAGATTATCTAATTCCCACGGGAAAACACAATCCAAAAAAATTTAATATGATCAGAATAACTTGAAACTTAGTATTAATGCTCTTCAATAAAATTAAATAAATACGTGTTTAATCATTTTTCGAAATTCATTTTATAAAGAGGTAAAATAGAGGATAAAAGTTTGTTTGTAAGTTTTTAGATATTTTTTTTTTAGTCTTAGCGCGAGCGAAGCCGTGGGTTTTGCTAGTTTTTCTATAAAAGTATGCCATAAAGTTACTAACTTCTTAATTTTCTGCTCTTTAATGCTTTTATAAGATAATTGCGATTCATCCTCACTTCGCATGGCTTCGTCTCTACATTCGTTTTAACGGTTCGTATGGAATAGGTAGACTATATATTAAACGATATATAGCCTATAGGCTTCCTCAATAAACAGAACATATTTTTTTAATCGGATAAGTAGTTCGCGAGATTAGCGTGTTCAAACAAACAAACAAACAAACAAACAAACAAACAAACAAACAAACAAGCTGCCTTTTTATAATATTAGTACCTATAGATTAGTCTAAAAAATAGTTGTGACTTGTGATACTTACAAAAAAATAGTACATAATTAACTCTTCATATAAACAAAATGAAAATTTTAATTTAAGTAGAAATTTCACTGTACAAATTCAACTTTAATTGATGAAATTTATCAGATGAAACTACCTCTATTTGCGTATTACGATGCATACGCGTCGGAATTAATCCCTCTGGCACTATAACGCTCAAGAATCAAAGCTATAGATAAAAGCTCTATTTTTTTATTTTAAGCGACATTATCACATATTAAGTGAGCACAAGTTTAGAAGTAGTACTTTCAATTTTGGTAAATTTATGTTCTAAGATATAGAAAAAGTTAGTTTTTTTATATACATAGGTAAATTGTATTCATATAATATCCTTAAATTTTCAATAATGATTTTTTTTTGGACATTAACACACAGCGTTATCTAGTTCCATGGTAAGCTACGAGGCTTTTGTTATGGATACCAGATAGTTGGTACACTACACATATATAACTGTTTAAATACATAGTACATATTATAAATATAAACACCCATGACTATTGACCGGAGTATAGACATTCGTGCTCATCACACAAATGTAGCCCCCCGCAGGACTCGAACCCACGACCGCTGGCACAGTAAGTAGGGTCATTACAAACTAAGCCAAACGTGTTGTCATATGATGAGATTATGGTCGAATTTCAAATATGGGGCGAACATTAGTTAAAATAATTGTGTGTGTAACTCTAATTATGATTGCCACATACTAACTTAGCTTCGCTTCGCTCGTATTGCTCGATCGGTGCCTTTAGTATGTATAATATTATTTACATTCAGCGCCATCTTTTATATGTTTTATTACTTATAGTATTCAATCTGTTTACTAAACTTCATCCAAATCTGTTCAGCTATTTCATAGTGAAAGAGTAACAAATAAACTTTCGCATTTATAAAAATAGTAAGTATAATTAGAAGAAAATAAATTAAGATTTTGAACGTACAGTTTCTCAGTGGATTCTTAGATTGCGTTTCTGCCCAATCCATAGACTCTACGGGAGTATGCTAACTTTTATTAAAAAAAAAATAATGCTTGTTCAAAAGCATTTCAAAAATACCTGTTAAAAAATAAATACTTTCACTTATTTACATTTTTTTTCTATCTGCGGTAGTGGAAAAATTTGACATTATGGTGAAGTCTAATCTGCTTACTGCTTTACTTCCTTAATAATTGAACCTGTGACTTTTGAGGTAATAAGCTAAGCTGGCCAGGTACATTAGTTTAATATATACTCCATACAAAATATACAGTTAATTTACGCTATATCATTATTATATTAATAAAATATTTACTCTTGAGATAAAATCAACTCATTTTAACATAATTACACAAAGGTTTGATGTAAAACAGGAAAAGCATATAGACTGAAGATTGATTTACAACTAAATAAGAATCGAACTCCATACTATTTGTTTTTACTATCATTATCAGGCTTGAAATGTTTTATGTCATAGAATAACAAATATTAGATTTTGTACATTTTCAACCAAGTTTTGAGTAGCAAAACGAAAAAATCAATGAGATAGTTAATTTGAATCTTTTATTAATTAAATTTTTTACAAATGCAGTAACAGGTGAACGCTACCGCATTGCAGTGACCGTCTATCGGGAATACCGCGGTATTAAATCAAACGACTTAACGGCTCTACCTGCCAACTCAATGGCCCTATACGTTTGTATCAAAAAGAATATCCTGAACAGAATCTGTTAGTAAAGATTTTTTAGAAGATTGTATAAGTTTTCGTTAATTACAAGCAAACAAACACACTTTCACATTTATAATATTAAGTATGGATGGCACTTTCATATAAGTTTCTACTAACAACCCTCATTTACTCGCTGTAATAACTTTTGAATAATAATCACCACCACACATTAAAGGTGAGAAGAATTTACAAAAAATAAATTAAAACACGCATGAAACTGCGGTGAATAACTAGTATTAATTATAATGCTAGCTTCCATGTCCAAGCCACATACAGTTATTGTATTATAGAAAATTGTCATTTATTACTAATTGGCTATTAATTTTGCTTTACGGTCGCTCCAGCTACAATTAAAACAGGTAAGTGCCTCATTTGGCTCAGATTCTAACGTCATTTGTAATGCGACCATATTGCATCTAATGATTTTATTAATATAACTAGCGACTCACCCTCGCTTCGCTCGAGTTCGTCCCTAGCTTGCTTCCCTATATTCATATAAATTTTCATCCCCATTCTCATCCTCTTATGAGATGATATCCGGGATAAAAACTATTTCACTCACTCACTTTTCATATTATGAGATTTAAAAGAAATCTTATTTTAGTAAAAAAAATCTTTTAATTTTCTTCTATACAAAACTTTTCCTGAAAAACAAACACATAAAAAAAGAATTAACCAATTTGGTGCAGTTCATCAGAAGTTATGCGCGTACATACATTTCGGTGATTCATTTTTATTTGTATGGATGAATATATGTTTCAAATATGATAGTGCGTGGATATTTCAATATACCTATAATTGTGCTCAAATAGGGTAGAGAATGGACATGGTTCTTATAAGGGATGAATACGTGGCATATAAATCCTTCAGACCGATTTTGGTAGCGGTGGCTTATCTCAATAAGAAATCAGCGAGGGAGATATTACAGGACACGCGAGTGCGCAAACTTAGATTAGAGCGGCTCAAAGAGCGGCTCGAAGGGTGGGTCGACGGACGGCTCGACAGAATGCCTGACGCACGGCTCGAAGAGCAGCTCGACGGACGGCTCGACGAGCGGCTCGATGACTTGATTTTTAGTTCCCGACGTTTCGGATGCTTTCATTGCAATCATGGTCACACGAGAGACTAAGGTTTAAGATATTGCCTCAAAAGCATTATATAGTTGTTACAGACAGCCTACCCACAAATTAACAAAAATAAATTGAAAAAATTCCATTCCGTTATAGAAAATATATGCACATATTTCATCTGATTCAATGCATTGCGAAGAATTCCATGTTTATGTAAGTTCATTCCAGCACTATGCCCGCTAAAAAAATGTATAGTATAAGAAATCCCATATTCTATAGATATCACTGATTTTATAATAATAGTGGATGAAAATGACAGTTTAAATGTCTATTGAGGAATTCAAAATAATATCGATTTTTTTATATTTTAGCAGTGATAATATTCTGTAACTAGAGGCGCACCCTCACTTCGCTCGGTTTCGCCTCTATGACAACAAAAACGAACTTATGCCAAGGGAACACTATATTTTTCCGGGATAATAAGTACGTGCCTATGTATTATTCCAGATTATAATCTATCTCTGTGCCAAATTTCGTCCAGATCCGTTCAGCCGTTCTGGCGTGAAAGAGTAACAAACTTCCATACATCCATATTCACAAACTTTCACATTTATAATATTAGTATAGATTATACATATATTTGTTTAAAGAATAAAATAAAATCTTAAATCAGAAACAAATTGATACAATTAAATCAATTACATTTAATCTAAAGAGATTTGCAACGTATAAGCAATTATTTAAATTACTATACGTATTAATACTACGTTTCTTTAGGAAAATCGGTAGAAACAAAAAAGAAGAAAATTGAGGTTAGCACGATTGAAAATAAATTATAATTAAGAATAAATAATCTACAAATCTTTTTATCATTGTTTTCTTATAAAAATATAATTATATTTTTTCAATTACTGTATCATTGTTGAATCATTTCTTTGATTTCAGTTGGTTTCAACGAACTGCTTTTAACTTTTTTATTTAGAACAATATACGATAAGTATTATTTTCTTTGATGTAAAACTTGTATTTTTCAATGTTAGAATACTTTATACAATGAAAAATGACCACATCGGAGACTTCCTTAAGAAGCAAGCGCTATTGAGTGCAAGTTGGATCTCAGTGCCATACCAAACAGTCCAGTGAAATCATCCGTGCAAAAGATAGTAGTGTCGAAAAAAACAGATAATGTTATACCTTCTCGCGCAAAACGTATAGCTAAGAAGTAAATTTAGTTTATATTATATTTAAAATCAATTAATTTTACTAATTTCAATAGATTGAGTTACTATACGATAACTTTGTTTATTGTTATTATTATAGAAAGTTCACAGACTTATTACCATAACAGATTATGTTTGTATCACAGTCCACAGATAACTAATTTTCTTGTCTTTGGTAACTTTAGGGTACAGATACACAACATATTTTTGTTGTATTATTGGTTTGTAATTACCAATTATTGTGTGTTTTTTACATTCTTCATTTTCGTATGTATATTTTTGTATGATTCTATTTTTTTTTATTTTTTTATCTCTTTTTTTTTTTTTGTTTGTAATTTTAATTACTTTAATGTGAAATTTCTTTCTTTCTTGCAACTGGCGGGTGAGTTGTAGTTGTGAGATAAACTTGCTAGTATTTTTTTTTTTATATCATATTATTATAACTATTTATTTAATAAATTTAATTTATTTATTGTTTATATTATTATTATATAATATAAATATTCAAGTATATTCTATTATTATATATTTCTTTTTACTTATTATTATTTACATATTTATTTATTTTATTATATTATACAACGTACAAAATGACGTCGATTTGCAGTAGTTTAGACGATTCGTTTTTGTCTTGTTCTACATCGGAGGATGAAAGCAGCAACGACAGTTTTCATAGTATCCAACCACTTGATGAAACTCTTGATCTCGTCTTCTCAGATGTTCTGAAAAACTTTAACTTAGTTCATATAAACGCCCAAAGTATTCCTGCGCACTATCCCGATATGTTGTCTTCTTTTACTTCCAAAAATATACATGCCATTTTGGTGTCCGAGTCATGGCTGAAGCCATGTCTCCCATCTACATCCTACGCACTACCAGGGTTTCACTTAATTAGAAATGATCGTGCTGAACGCACTGGAGGTGGAGTTGCAATCTATCTACGTTCCCACATTCCTTTCTCGATTATTAGTATGTCTAAGAATCAAGGAGACGTAGGACCCGAACATCTTTTTATTGAGATTTTATTATCTCACACTAAGATACTCCTGGGTGTTTATTACAATCCTAATCTCACTATCGATTATTTCTCATCATTTGAAACCCTGTTAGAAACATATAAGCCTTTGTACGATCATACTTTGGTGATGGGTGATTTTAACACCTGTCTCCTAAAGAATGATCAACGCACATCGCGTCTTAGTTCCCTTGTAAATGCAGTTAATTTAAACATTCTCCCCTTAAGGCCCACTCATAATTTTCCAAATTGTCTACCATCTCTTCTTGACCTGATTTTAGTATCTTCCACTGACCTTGTTGCGAAACATGGTCAGTGTTCGGCTCCGGCTTTCTCATACCATGATCTAATCTATTTGTCTTTTAAATTGAAAACCCCGAAAGCAAAATCAAGAATCCTTCTTCAGCGAAATTTTGGTGGTATTGACCTACAACGCTTGCACGCAGACGCTGAAAGTGTGGATTGGTCAGTAGTTACCGCAGCAACTACAATTGATGAAAAAATTTCTATATTCAATTCTCTTTTGATCCAGCTGTATGATATTCATGCTCCAGTTCGGCCTGTACGAGTCAAGCATCTTCCAGCTCCCTGGCTTACACCAGAAATCAAAAGGTTACAGATCAAAAAGAATGTTGCAAAAGTAAAATATGTTTCAAATCCTAGTGACGAAAATAGGGCAAAATATGTCAAGGCTCGGAATCGTTGCAACATGGTGTGTAGGGATAGTCAACGACGCCATATCTATAAATCGGTTGTCGAAGAAGATGACTCAGAAAAAGTCTGGCATTTTCTTAAGTCTCTAGGAGTAGGTAAATCTAGAGTAAATATTAATCCTAAAAACTTAGATTTAAATTTGCTAAATCAATATTTCTCTTCTTCTAGTATTATAAATAGTACAAATAAATCGAATACACTTAATCTCCTTTCAAATCTACCTACTCCTGACTTTCCCTGTTTCAGTTTTAGTCAAATCTCCGAAAGTGATGTTAAGAGAAATATTATGGCAATCAAATCTAACGCCGTTGGGGCGGATTGTATAAGTCGCAATATGATTCTTCCTATTATTAACTTTATTGTTCCTATAATAACATCTATCCTTAATGCCTCCTTAAATCTCCACAAGTTTCCTTCGTCCTGGAAAGATGGCCAAATTATTCCACTCCCAAAAAAACCTAATCCTTATTCCTTTTCTGACTACCGACCAATTTCAATTCTTCCTTTCCTATCCAAGGTCCTCGAACGCCTCGTGCATCGTCAACTAAGTATTTTTCTACATCAAAATAGTCTATTAAATTCTTTTCAATCTGGTTTTCGTCCTAGTCATAGCACGGTTACTGCGCTAACTAAAATAACAGATGACGTTAGAGAAAGCATGGACAATAAAAAGGTTACGGTATTGACACTATTAGATTTTACAAACGCTTTTAATACAGTAGATTTCGACATTTTACTTGCCATTCTAGCTTCTCTTAACATATCTCCTGAGGTGGTTGACTGGTTTCGTTCTTACTTGTGTGATCGCCGGCAGCGTATACGAATTGAAGATTCGTGCTCTGAATGGTCTATAATTAATGCTGGTGTTCCACAAGGTGGTGTCTTGTCTCCTCTCCTTTTTTCAATTTTTATTAATTCTATCTCTCAACAAATTTCTTCTCCCTACCACCTGTATGCTGACGATTTGCAAATTTATGCCATGACTACTGTGGAGAACTTGCCTATTACCATTAATAATATAAATAAAGATTTGTCACTCATATCATCATGGGGTAATTCATATGGACTCAATCTAAATCCAGATAAATCTCAAGCAATTATTTTAGGCAGCCAGAGACTATTATGCAAAGTTAAAAATATGCACATACCACCCATACTTCTTAATGGTGTCCAAATTATGTTTACTGATAAAGTGAAAAACCTGGGTATTTTAATTGACCAGTGTTTATCGTGGGGACCGCAGATAAGTGAGATGAGCAGGAAGATGTTTGGAGCGATTGCTTCTCTTCGTAGATTAAAAAATTTTCTGCCCATACCTACCAAAATTGCGCTAGCAAATTCTCTTCTACTACCGATTCTTGATTATGCTGACGTTTGTTATCTTGATATCAAAGAAGAATATTTAAATAAACTTGAGCGACTTCAAAATCTTTGTATACGGTTTATTTTCGGCCTTCGGAAATATGACCACGTTTCAGAATTTCGTAAAAAACTCAAGTGGCTTCCTATCCGTTTCCGCAGGAATACTCACATTCTCCATCTTCTTTACTGTGTGCTATTTCACCCTTCAACTCCTTTTTATTTAAAAGAGCGTTTTGAATTTTTAAGTAACTGTCATAGCCGTTCTCTTCGCTCGGAGCACAACCTAGTTCTCAAAATTCCTCCACATTCTTCATGTTTCTACTCTAACTCTTTTACTGTAAAAGCTGCCCGGCTCTGGAACACACTTCCTTTAAAAGTTAAAAGTGCCAAAAGCCTTGATAAATTTAAGCTGTTATTAAAAGAATATTACCTGTCCCTTTAGTGCTTTTTTTATATTTAATTGTATCTATAACTATATATATTTGTAGGTACGTATGTATATAAATTAGTATGTATGTGTATTGTACGTTTATATATTTGTATGTATGTATATATGTATGTATGTACGTTTGTATGTGTATGTGTATTATGTTTATCTATTTATATTGTATGTATAATTATATCGTATAGCAAGTACACCGCCTACCATTTCTCTCACACTCTCCTTTACCTGGTAGTTGGTTGCCTGGAAGAGATCGCTTTAAGCGATAAGGCCGCCTGCTGTGCATCTTTGTTAATTTTTAATAACTGTCTGTACGTATTTTTCTCTTTGGTGTACAATAAAGAGTATTATTATTATTATTATTATTATTATTTAACATTCGATAGTACATATTTTAAGAATAGGATTTTTCGACTAGAACTGATGTTTTAATAGAATAAGTTGTCTTTTATTGTAGTTTTACACAATTTCGGTAATCTCTTGTACTACATATTAGGTAAGTATAATTTGGTCAAATGATTCTTTACACTACATTCTGGTACTCTACTTGCACAAATTTGTTTTATATTAAAACCAAATGTATTAAATATAAATATTCTAAACAAAACAAAGCTTTAGAATGCTTCAGCCAAAATTATTACCTACGAAGTAGGTACCTAATATGCCTCTATGCCATACTTTATGAAAGGTATAGGACGTTATATAAACACTCATAATAATTTACTTTATTGCTAAATACATTTATATTTATTTCTACTATAGTATACTAAAGGCAGTGTTAGCCCAGTGGTGACTCGCACGCTTAGGCAACTGAGTGAAGCGGGAGCAGCTCGCACCTCTGATATTTTCATTTACGAATCATATCTAACATTATTAACACTTTTCTTAAGGTGAAGGAAAACATCGTGAGAAAACCTGCATGTCGCCGACCCGAACTTGGGCAGCGTGCTGGACTGTGGCATAATTCCCTCGTATGTAAGGGAGGTCCGTGTCTAGCAGTAGGAGGTTAAAAAAGGGCTGGATACACATATACATACGTACATAGAATACTGTACTACTATAATAATAATACTTTTCACAGCTTTTAATGGATATAATAATATATATTTGTAGTTATTGAATAAGTATACCTTGTTAAAATTCGTTATAAGCATTTTACCAAAGAAATTGTTAATGAATCGAAAATTTCATATTTTAGTGAAAATACCAATCACAATTATAAATCAACAAGTAGTTAATCATTTTTAAATGACTTCTTTATATTCAGGGAACGAGAGCGAATATTAAACTTTCATATTCCATTAAAATCTTCGAATAAGCAAACAAAATGATTTTTTGTATAACGTCATTTACTTTTAATTTCATAATTGGTACAAACAACAAATAAAGATGAGTACAAATAATGCTGATTGTTGTGACAACAATTGTAGGTATCTTGGTGAGTTTTTAGTAGGCTTTTGTGTGTGTCTGTGGGCTTTTTTATTTGGATGAACAAATTTTATTACTTACTCTTACCTATGTATTACTCAAGGACATAATTTAACAAATGTTGTATTGTTTTAAAATTATAGCCATTTATAAAATATTATATTTTAACTAGCCACTCACCCTCGCTCCGCTCGGGTTCGTCTCTAGTCACGTTTTAACGTTTAGTATAGATTTCACAGAAATGAGATATTTTCCCGCAGTAAAAAGTATGCTATATGTTGACCCGGATAACCAGCTATCATCATACCAAATTTCATCAAAATCTATCCAGTGGTTTTCCCGTGATGCGGTCGCAGACAAACAGACAGACAAAATTCGAAAAACTATACATTCGGCCTCTCTATCAATATTCGATAATAATGACTATTTCAATAAGATTTTCCAAAAAATAATTAATGTACAGATTCGATTTCATTAGAATTTTATTGTAATGTATAGATTTAACAAAATATTCTTGCTATAAATTCATTTTTTCCCTTAATCATTAAAAATTTTTTTCAAGATAGATCTTATGGGATATGATTTTATTAACATAAATGAAATATCAATAATTAGAAATCACATTTTTAACAAAATCACAGTCTCTATGTACATAGTTTTCTTATATTAATAATAATATCAACAATAAATGATTATGTAAAGTAAATAGCAAATAGCAGATTTTTATCAAATTCAAGTAAGTATTCATTTAAATTATTTTATTTACATTTCTTTTATTTGTCTCCAGTTTCTTTGTTTTCCTTGTTAACATTTGGTAAAAAGAAGACAAGAATGGCAACGCCTGAAACAAATAATTGTATGAATAAATTTACTTACTACTTACAATATGGCGCTGTACTAACAAAATAACTATTTGACTTTTTAACTGAAAACATACATATTCAGACGGCAATATTATTTTAAAACCAATTATTCTACCTTTAAGGTAGACATTTTAATATATGTTCGCTTTATTTTTTATAGTGAGAGGGACAAACGGGCAAAGGATCCACCTGATGGTAAGTGGCAATCGTCGCTCATAGACATCTGCAACATAGGAGGAGTTGCGAATGCGTTGCCGGCCTTTAAGGAACTTAAAGACACGACTCTTGAGAGTCGTAGATGTTCTACAATTAGCATTTGCGAGGCTTGATTAATAAATAAGTTGTCCGTCACGGGACGCCGAGCAGATGTAAAACATCTATGTTAATATTAAAATTCATAATTAATAAAAACCTTTAACGAAATACGGAGTAAAAAAACCAAAAACAGAGTTTCGTTAATAAAATCAATTTATTTTTCTTATTATATTAATAATTATAATTACAGAATATATATAATCATAAATAAAATAGAAAATATGTAAATATTTTTAGTAGATACTGTTTTACAATGGACTGTGTATAGTATACCGCGCGCACGCACAAGGGAGTCGAGAGCGGTGGCGTAGAAGGGGCATGATGGGCATGACAGCGTCATGTCGTTTGCCGTCACAGCATAAGAGTCGGTTTTACTGCCAAGGCGCGCCAATAGATGTTACACATCAAGAATCATTAAAATCAATTACCGAGTGGCGATACCACGTAACATACGAAAAATCATTCACAAAAATGGAGTGCCTCTTTCTTTTTGAGGTCGATCAAAAATATAGCTAAAGCTGGGCATTATTCATTTTTTTTAAATTTTATATATATTTTATTTATATAGTGTAGGTAGACGGTAAGTTCAAGTTCCATTTTTGAATAATTTTGTTTGTATATTTGTTATAGCATCGTACAATAACTACGTAGCTGGTTTAGGAATTTTTTTGAATTGGAAAGTAATAAGAAATAAATATCCTAAGAATATAAATTAGTACTCATTTCGTAGTTTTATGTCATCATGTAAAATATTAGGTAGTGGAAGGCCAGTGGTAATGCGCTCGCTTGGGAAACCGAGCGTAGCGGGTTCAAACCTTGGGTCTCGCACCGCTGATATTTTCATGTGCGAATCATTTCCAAAATTATTACCACTTGTCTTACGGCGAAGAAAACATCGTGAGGAAACCTGCATGTCTGAGAGAACCTATCAAGTTTACCAAAGACGTGTGAAGCCCCTGAACCCGCACTTGGCTAGAGTGTTGGATTATGGCCTGATCCCCCTAGAAGAAAGTGAGGCGCGTGCCAGTAGTGGGACGTTAAAAAGGACTGAATACATGTAAAATTTAACTTTTTGACATTGAACGGACACCACTCGTCTCGATTGATATAAATTGATAAGAAAAAATAAAACTAATAACTATTCACTTGACTTTAACTTTCATTAATAACTGTTCAACAGACAAAAACAGAAAAATAAATATGAACGTTTACTTACATAATGATATACCGGAAGTCAATACAAAAGGCGCCATACATCCTGTTTCTAATAACAATGGAAATATTATATTTCCGGTTAGTGATCCAATGCGTCCAAACATAATTATTATTGACATAGCGAGAGCTCTAAAAATAGAAACGAAAATAAGTATAAAAAATATGAAGGGTAGGTACAGGCAAAGAACAGGGAATGCCACAAGTTTTGTTGTTTTTTTTTTACTGGTAACAAATCAATATCTATGGTAATAATTGCTTTCTACAATAAAAATATTATAACTTTTAGACTTTAAATTGTTTTTCTTCTCATAATCATTATTTTTATTGTTATTCTAGTCATTTAATCTGGACTGCCAAAAAGAGATTAATCTTATAAGCTATTTTTGTTTAAAAATATATTATTATCTAACATAAAGCATTAAAAAATATTTGAATAAACGTGCTGAATTACCTTAATGTTGTAGGAAAAACTCGGACAAACACGTTTTGTTGTAGCATTACAGTTGTTTGTAATAGTCCACATGTCGCAGACATTAGCATTGCTATTTGCAACGACGCATTCGTCCAATACAAAGACGTCGAACAAACAGTGCTCATTAATAAGATTATGAACAATAAAATCTTCTGTCCGAGATAGTCTACTAAAAGTGCACTGATTCCAACAAACACCATTGATATGAATCCTAAAATAATTCCATTTATATACGTTTGTGATCCACTCAATTTCTGAAATTAAACACTTTGTACGTAATCTTTATGTTAAATTGCGAACTAAAAATAATGAAATGAGAGGATAATCTTACAGTTTTATAGGTGATAATTATATGGACAAATCAATAGGACATGAAAGAAAAGTACTTTAAATAATTAAGTTATCAAGATTTACTCAAAGGAAAGATTTCTTTATTTTAAAAAATATTAATAACTGTATTGAAGTTTTTTTTAAAAAACATTACCCGAACCGGGAATCGAACCAAATAAAAATGCAAAAGAGGATACCGACCTATTTTATCAAATTAATGGATAGAGTCTATGGTAAAGATGAAATTTCTCGAACGAAAATTGTATGTTACAATTAATGAAAACTGTGAAATCTTACAAATAGATATTTTTCGATAGATATTGATATTCAGAAGCTAAAAATTATACATTTATAATTGAAATATCATATATAAGTTCAAATTAAATTAATATATCGCCAGTACTAAAATATATAAAAATAGCCGTTAAAATCCACCATACAAATATGCCAAATGCAGCCATACAAATTGTCATTGCTAAGCTTACATATTGTGAAGTTAATATATAATATAATAAACTCATATTCAATAATATTTCATTTCCAGTAGTACATAGATTAGGAGAAAATGTTCTATGATTTTTCTTTAAGGAATATTTTAATTTAACCTGGCTCTAAATGATGAGTGTATCAACTCTTCTTGGAAATTTACCAAGTCAGCTTGTCACTCAGCAAAAGTAAATAGTAAAAATGAGTTAGCACTATTTGTTCTTATCTAGTTTCTTGTTTATTTTATGTCTGATAATTAGAACTTTTGCTGTAATATACTCGTACTAATTAACATGAATATTTCTAGTAAAATTGACTCTGAAGTACCATTTTGGTGTTTGTATGATATTTTTTCTTCCGAATAATGTATATAAATATATTTATTTTTTTGTATCATTATAATATTTCGTTGATATATTTTAATATTAAGTCAATTCAATTTAATGCTGTACACCGCACTAAATTAACTTATTTTCTCACTTCTGAAGGGTTTCTGGAAGAAATCTCTTTTAAAGATATTAGTTATCACTTATCCTAAATGTCGACATTTACATTTCTTGCACGTTCAAATGGCTAAACGAATTTGGATGAAACTTAATACACACGTTCACTAATAAAGACTTATAGAACAATAATGTATAGACTACTGTTTGGCATCTACTAACTCACCCGAGTGAAACCAGGATAAATTTGTAGGACAGACGGGTAGGGGATAGAGGGTAAGTAAACAAATAAAGTGTTTACTCACCGGAACACACACTGCAGCTTCCATTACATCAGACACGTTAACTTGTGAAACATTTAAACTATCCATGTAATCGGTTATCATGACACAAAACCGAGCTGAGCCTCCATGGTTTTTATCGTAATTTTCAATCATTGTTGATAGTTGTGGGAACCACAGACGTAGTGATGTAAACCTGTAATCAAATTCATTTGATACTTTACATTTAGTATAATTAAGTTTTGAAACGCCAAATACCTTAGTCTCTTTCGTGAGCATGATTTCTGTAAAGTATTCGAAACATCGGGAACCAAAAATCGAATAAATCCGCGAAAAAATTGGAAAACATAGTTTTATTCAATTAAATCAACGTATCAAAAGAGCTCAGAAAAGATAACATTCTACAATCGCTATCGCTAATAGAAAACAACGAATTATATAGGGCTGAAAGTTAAACCCCCAGACGAAATTTTAGATGGATTTATGAAAAAGAAATTTTAATATGGTCGAACTGTTTAGCGCATACAATTTAAAACTTAACATACTTTAGCATACAAATCTGATGTTATTTTGAGCTTGAAGGGTATTGAAGTTATAAGGACATAAAAATATTCAATCAATTTTAATTTGAACGTGAATCGAGTGTCAAGCGATTCGTCGTGTGGTTTGTAATTGCTATCCTAATACGGGAAAACTAATCATGAAATGCAATAGAACTAAAACACCAGTTTTTATTATTTTTTGTCCTCGAAATTGGCAGAAATAAATCTCTTTAAAACGTTTGCCAAACAAAGGTAAATCCAATAGGCATAGTTTAAAGTTAAATGACAAATGTTTTATTGTAAGTAATACATAATACTTAATTAAATTAAATTTTTAGTTTTCTATAAGCTATTATCGATTGAATTGATAGAAATTAACTTGCCTAAAAGGATAATTTTATATATATTACATACTTGGATTTAATCTAATTTACTATCGTTTATTTACATTTGATTAATCTCATGGGGCATATTTAAAAGAAAATACGATAAAGAATATAAGAGTCTTCTATTAAGTAAGAGATTACATAAACAAAGTTATAAATGAAAATAATTTGATAAGAAATGTTTTCCGGTTACTTTAAAAGATAAATGTAGTAATTATAAGGTAAATGTATACACGTACAATGATAACCGTTTACCGCCGCCATAAAAATGATTTGATTTGAATGAAGCGTGAAATCACATAACAAATAATTTGTTTAAATTATCATTCAAAGTAGTCTAAATAAATAATACTTTTTTTATATTTACGCGAATATTTCACATTCTAACATCATAACATCTTTTCAGATTTTTTCACAGATAGTTTCCTATCAGATTTATATTATAGCGTTATAATTTCTATTTATATATATATATATATATATATATATATATATATATATATACAAATAATAAATTTTGAAATATTTTTATAAAATATTATAAAATGTTTAACAAAAAAAGTTATTTATACGAGTAAAACCTAAATAAATAAATACTTACGAAATTAATGAAGAAAAAGTTATAAAGGAAAAAAATAACAGTCTAAATACTAAGGGCGGACGAAATAGTTCCTTCACTTCAAACAAAGCATTGACTAGTTGCTTTTTGAAACTTAGCTCTATTGTGGGCTTAAGTGTTCCAGAAGTACTAAATGAATGTATCTGTAAGAAAAAAGTATTTGTAGTTCTTATCAATTTTATTTTATTTTTTGTTAAATTTTACATGTATTCAGCCCTTTTTAACGTCCCACTGCTGGGCTCAATCAATTATTTTGGAAGTCGGTGCCAGCCGATACAAAACAAAGCACACCGAGTTCGAAAATATTTTATTAGGTATGTATAGTAAATGAAAACTACCAATCAGTTATTTTTTACTTTTTAGTGCTTTTTTGAAGTCGGTTTTTATTTGTTTGTTAAAAAGTTTTTATGTGTAGTAATAACTGTCAACATTTAGGTCGACCCGAGTAATAAGTTGGGGTTTACATTTTACTACAGGAAAATCCTTAATTCTTTCGGGAACAACACCATCACTGATTCAGTCGAGTCGTACTTAGGAATTTACATGGCTACGTTACGTTGGGTAAGCCTTAAGAGATACATTAAAACAACATACTAGAGAACTATAGGCAGTGGTAGCCCAGTGGTAACGCGCTCCCTTGGGAAACCGAGTGAAGCGAGTTCAAATCCCGGGTCTCGCACCTCTGATATTTTCATGTGCGAATCATTTTTAACATGATTACCACTTACGGTGAAGGAAAAACATCGTGAGGAAACTTGCATGTCTGAGAGAACTTAGCAAGTTTTCGAGACATGTGAAGTCCGCCAACCCGCACTCGGCCAGCAATATCGAACATTAGTCTACCTCCTAAGGTACACTCGTAATAACTATATTTAAAACGTAACTAGAGACAAGTTACATATATATGTACATAATACTATATTATAAATATAAACATTCGTGCTCATTACACAAATTAATTCCCCCAGCGAGACTCGAACCCGCGACCGCTGGCACAGCACCAAACGTGTCGTCAAAAACAACGCTGTATTTGGCTCAGTTCAAAAGCAACTCTATTGTAAAGTAGTTGTTATTTTGCAGTAAACAGTTCTCTAAATAGCTAAAGTATAAATGTAAATAAAATAAGTGTATAAATAAAAATATCATTTAAGTATTGTTATTAATGCGTCGTTGTATCGCGTAACTATGAATTTCGTCCAGTAAATTGGAAGAAAATGATAATAGAGACAAACAAACATATAGACAATATGAAGTGATATCAGAACCTCATGTATCTTTTAAAATTATATGTTATGTAACACATTATAAACTAATATTGTTTACCGAACAATCTCCTTCGTGTATTCTCCATTCTACGTGACATTGGCGAAGTAATCTGTGCTCAAATGGCAGTTTGAAGCCATTAACAAGAAAATTGAAAAAAACTCAGCACTACTCTATGTCGATCGACTAAAAAATAGCCAAAATGTTAGTACTTACAGGAAAAGCATCTCCACTATTTCCTGTATTCTCACTAAATATAGTTTTCAAAACCTCTAAAGCTTCCGTCTCTCTGCCATGCGACAGTAAATATTTTGGGCTTTCAGGTAAGTTATAGTACATAATAAAAGCTCCGAAACTCCATATTGAACACATATATAAGTAAAAGTTCCATGCATGTAATTCTGTAATGAAAGAGTAATCATAAGTATAATACCCACGTCGTGAAAGCTGGTGACTTGCGTTTTTAATCGAGAAAGATAGTTATTGCTATAGTACCTTAGGAAATACACATACATTTGCTGTTGCGGACTATTCTGTAGACTTATTTAAGACCTGCAATTTTGTAGTACATCGTCTTGATATATCTCTTAAGGTTTATTATGTTTTCCCGTGGGAATGAAAGTTCTCCTGTAGATAAAGATATTGTCAATGTAGTAGTAAGTTATCACTATACAACATTTTGTTCAAATCTGTTCAGTACTTTTTGCTTGAAATGCACACAGATATACAAACGAACAGACAAACAGACAAAAATTTCAACAACGATTGTTTTGGGGTCTACATTCCGTACATCATACGTATCAGTTTGACTTTGTACTATTTTATTATATGTATAAAAGAGTATAAAAGATCATTGAAACTTACCGAAATATCCTGGCCATATAACAACATCTAATTTAAAAGGCAGTATCATCCAAGACATTGCTGCTGCAATAACTATCGCCAATGATACGAAACTTGAATTCACCAGTAACACTCTATCTCGAATTGCTATAGGACAAAATTCTGATATATTCGTCGCCATCGCGCTGAAACTCAAACTTAATCTGTAATGTAATAAAAAACTCTATATTATACATATAGAACTACATGATTTTAATTACCAAGCGACGTTCTTTGATAAATTATTACTGAACGCATACATTACATCCTGGGGTAGTTTATAATTTAAAATTCGTGTACACACTCCGTATTATACCTATAAGTTAATTAAGGTATCTTCTGATATTTAAAATTCGATACCTTTGTTCGTGAAATTGCATGTTAAATTAATATGAATGTTTTAAATTTTTCCTGTTTAATCTATTCACAGATTATGATTAAAGTTTTTACAAACTTTTTTAACCTTATAATTACTGCAGTTAGTTTTTTTTTTAGAAAAAAATTGACAACGCCATATAAAATTTATGGTGTAATCAAAATTTATTTTACAATATATCCGAATATAACATAAAAAAGTTATGTAATAGTATACAAAATGTTTTAAAAGACAAAAAAATTGAAAGTGCATAATAATTACAAGACTTCCGCAACACCATTCAGATAAAGAGAGACAATAGTATTCCCAAGGAGGGTTGACGTCAGGCAGGCGGCCGGTCGTAAAACTTTTGCTGAATCCTATCAGCAGTACAGAAGATGTACTGCGCCGACCCCAAGTGATAGGGAAATGGGCACGAAGAAGAAGAAGAATTACTGCAGTTAGTTACTGTCGCCGCTATAATAATGTGTTGAATGATTACTTCATTGTATACACACACGCACACGCACGTAAACACACACAACTTCATGCTTTATCCCTTAGTTTATCCTTTATCCCTTTTTGGTAGTCAGAGATAATTACATAACCATAGGCTATTAATCTATGCAGTCATCGATCGAAGAAGTGTACACAGGAGTCGTGCAGGATGAAACGCCGAAATGATGCTTCAGTTGTCATATGTATACTTTTATGTGATACTAGGAAGATGGCTCTTAGACGAGTATTAGCGTTTTATTTTTATACTCTGGTACTTTTCGGTCTCTTATCGTTATAAGAAACATTTAAAATCTCTTTATAGATATTTACTATAATATTATTCTAAAGTTTAGTATAGATTTCTCTGAAATATTTTCCCGCAGTGAAAAGTATCCTATATGTTGACCCGGATAGCCAGCTCATTTGATACCAAATTTCATCAAAATCTGTTCAGTTATTTTCTCGTGATGCATTCCCAGACAGACAGACAAGAATTGTAAAAACTATAGATTCGGCCTCTGTATCGATAATAACTACTATTATTTCAATAAAATTTTCCAAAAAATATTTAATGTACAGATTCGACTCTAGTTAGAATTTAATTATATGTATAGATAATATTATTATACTTACGATATACCTTGGATGACTTTAATAAACATCAGCATCCAATATGTTTGACTCGAACCCTCTATTATTGTACATACGAAAATACCCAAGTTGCCTCCAACGAGAAACAATTTTCTTCCAAATGCATCTACTAAGAATCCTGTGAATAAACTTGCTCCTATTTGACCTAAAATGATAAAACTTTTTTATTTTAAAATGTTACAGCTGCGCACACGCATGTTATAATATTATGAAAAGTTATAAATTTTGATATAATGATTAAAAGTAAATGTCTCTATATTTTAATTAAACTAAAGTCTCTATTCGTATCTGCTGTATTTTTAAAGAATATTTACTATCAAACAAACGACATCTATGATAAGTAAGCAAACAAGTATTTCCATCCTATTACGTCTTTAATTTAATAAAATATATTACCGAATTATTATACTTTTCAAATATTTAATTTTAAAAGAATATATGTACAGATCCGGAGGTCCTGGATTCGAGTCCCAGAAGGGCCAAGTTTAAATACTGAGTTTTTTGTCTGTTAAAATATTGTCAGGCAGCCCGGAGTTGCCTCTCTCAAAACTCTCACTACTCATGTCGAAGTTTGGTCCCATTAAACTTTTAGAGGAAAACGAAGAGAGTGCAATTGTGTCTAAGTAGACACTTGTGCACTATAATAATATCTTCTACACATCTGGCTAGTCTCAGTGAGATCGGCCGCCGTGCCCGAAATCGGCCAGCAGGATATTATTATAGCATTAACGTATGTTTTATCATTATTATAATATTATGTTTTCACTTTTTCTTACATAAAGATAGATTAATAGAAATATTAGGACATCACTTTATACATACATAGCTAATGCCCGAACTATTTTTGATCCAATTCTATAAGAATAACCTTACTTAAGCACTAAAAATTATATTTTAATATTACCTACAAATGGTATAGCATTTAACAGTCCCTTATGCATCAAATTCATGTTTAAGTCACATTCGGCTACAGGTAGAATATAAGATGAAGTCGTAACAACAAACATAGACGCAAACGCGGAACATATTGTTGCTGCAAGCAATCTTATATGAAACTTCCCAAATTTGCAAAATGTCAACGCCTCTTCTAATATTTGCATTGGAAGTTTTGATTTCATGTTATCTAAAAAAGGAAAATATTATATTATGAATAATCTTATTGAATTGCTAGCGGCTTATCCACGCTTCGATCGAGTTCGTCCCTACGTGTCTAAAAGTTGCATATTATTCCAGGTCATAATGTCTTCTACTAAATTTCAAATCCGACCCGATGTTTTTGCGAGAACTTTCAATTTATTCGATAATGCTTATAATGTTATTTTTTGTTATACAAATTATAACTGTTGATAAATTGTTTCTGCTATAATAAGTTAAAGTAAAATATATATTCTAGCATGTAACTAAAGGAAAGTGAAGACATGTGCCCAGCAGTTACGATGACGGACGTTAAAAAGGTATGAATTCATGTAAGGATCCATATACTAGGATGAATAATTGAAGATGCATAGTTTAATTTTAATATGCATAATACCTTTATATTTTAATCGAGTTATTTTACATGGTAACATTTCAATTGGACCATATACCATATAACAAATATGTATATAAAAATATAACACTCACCTTTTACGATTTGAATACTTTTTTGATCCATTTGTCTTGAACTAAATCACAATTATAAAAATTAATAATAAGCATAAATATAAGGTTCATTTAAATTTACACTTTGTATATTTGTTTTTTACTTTGTATATTTAATTTGTTTCATACTTTGACATTGCACTCTCGTCTTTCCTGGCGTCACAAAATCACACTAGCAGCCTGTCGTCTGTTTTAGCATTTTGATATAATTTGAACGCAAATAATATTGTAAAATATTTACCTATTTACATAGATGATAAACGTTGAGACGTCACATTACGACTGCGGTAAACTTAGTCTCTTGATGTGAAAGTCTAGTCAATTAAAGAGGTAAATCTGGAGAGTCATACTCACTAGGTCGATTCCTGTTTGAGGCTAATATTCTTGTAAGCTAAGCAGATATTTGACATGTTATTCTAAAGTAAACTATGTTTAGATAATAGCAATATGCACATTTTTCTTCCAAGGGTTCACGAAATAAATTTTCAATTATTAGATATAAATAACATTAAAAAAACATAGAGCGTTGGTAAAAATTAAAAATCAAAATAGCAGTAAATCAAAATAAATATGCAAAAAAATCTGAAAAGTCGAAGAGAAGAATCCGAAGAGTTTTATTTAAATGTTTATAAAAGAATTTTAGTAGCAGCCTAGAACAATGAAATTGGCCCTTTGTTTGTTTGTTTGTTTGTTTGTTTGTTTGTTTGAACGCGCTTATATCAGGAACTACTAATCCGATTTAAAAGATTCGTTTTGCATTAGATAGTCCGTTTATTGAGAAAGATTATAATCTATATATTATATATGTATAATAAATCTAGTCTATTCAATACTAACCCTTAAAACGAACCTAGGCACGAACTCAAGCGAAGCGAGGGTGAGTCGCTAGTTTCTTACACATCGACCGTGCCCTTAATCTGTTACCAGTCATGTGAAATGCCCTTCCACCAGGTTGAACGCATACTTATCGGACTACTATTATTAATGCCAAAGTTTGTTTTTGTCTGTATGTATGTGTACCTCCACACGCTAATACAACTTTACGAATTTTAATGAAATTTAGTACACAGATAAACCATGAAATGGAATAATGCATAGAATATATACATTAAGAAGTTGTAAGTGTAAGGGGGGTCCGCAGCTAAAATTCGATTAGAAGTATTTTCATCTAAAATAATACAATCCTGTCCAGGAAAAGTTATTGATCTATTACAAGTCAAATTCTATATGCAATAATTATTCCGCCAGATCGTTACTAGTATATAATATAGGTTGTTTTTACGAGCTTTAATTTAACTTGCAATGTTTGTATGTTCGAGAATAATCTTGCACTTGAATTTTAAAGCAGTTATCCTCAACCGATTGAGCTGAAACTCTGCATAAGCGTTTAGTTTATATGACAAGACATAGTTAAATAAGTGACGTCATTCTAAATCCAACATGGCGGACTCCCAAAGATGGCGGGCTTTACTTTTTTATGCAACACCATGATATGGATATCAAATGAAAGGGTTTGCTGAGAGGAATACAAATAAATAACTAAAAAATAAAATATAAACTTTAAATTAAATCCAACCCAATTAATACATAACTCATATTATATGTTATAAAAGCTTTTTTTAAAATTTTTTTTTAATATTAATTTATTAATTTAAATGCATAGGCATAAATACCAAGGAAATAACTTTCAACTAACATTTGCAATCCTATATACAAACTAACAGTCGAGTCGCCGTTGAATAGTAATTGTGCGTCAACAATAACTCCTCTGATTCCATCTCTTGTGTCGTTTCTCCGATACTTTGTAAATAAACTTTAATATCGTTGTTATTGCTTTTCAATGCCTCACTGCATTTATACGGACTACTATAATATGTTTAGATTTAGAGTTATAGATTTACTACAAGACAGGTATATACATATTATGTATATGAGCATGATTGATAGTCTCATGCATTTTTTGGTATACGTATTATAAATAAATATGGTGAAACAAAATATGATGGATTTTGCTTATTTTTTCTCTCCGCCTGCGCAATGTATGAAATGAATGGTTTGAAAAATCCATACTTATGTTATAAATTCATTTATTTATTCATTTAATGTCCCAACATATTTATATTTATTTATATTTAAATGTGAAAATACTCTGTCTGTCTGTTACCTTTTCACGTTTAATCCGCTGAACCGATTTAAAAAGGTATGAAGATATTTTGAGACCCTGTAATGGGGTAAAAAGGGGGATGGAATTTGTATGTTGGATCAACCATTTCTCAAGTAAGGAATATAAAACTTATCATATTTATGTACGTATATAATATATATAATACATAATATAGTCTATCTATTCTATACTAACCGTTAAACTGTACGTACGGACGAATCCGAGCGAAGCGAGGGCGAGTCGCTATTAATTTATACTTGGAATTAATGTCGATCTAAATAACTGATCTTCTCAACAACATCGTAATCTTGTTGGAATAAAACAAAAAAATCTCTTTATATATAAAATTTTCGCTAAGTAATTTTAAATAGTATCATCTTCTGTAACGTTAAATTGAAACACAGCAATTTCATATCCAGCGCAATAAGCTAAATGTTGCGACGATTTGCATTTGAAAACTGCATCACGAGTCTCGACGATACGTTTGACCTACTTTACACGGGATTACCTTATACTTTAGATGTTATTTTTGTAAGTAAAAATAAAGTAAAAATAACATGTATGAAGGTGGAAACGTCAATTATATTATACAACGGACTCACTCTCGCTCCACCCTGGTTCGTCCCTAGATACGTTTTAACGGTTAGTATAGATTTTTCAGACATGAGATATTTTCCCGCAGTAAAAATCTTAATCTTAATTATTAACCCGGATAACCAGCTATCATCATACCTAATTTCGCCAAAATCTGTCCAGTACTTTTCTCGTGATGCGTTCCCAGACAGACAGATAGACAAACAGACAGACAGACAAAAATTCTAAAAACTATAGATTCGGCCTCTGTAAGATTTCCAAAAAAAATGTTTAATATACAGATTCGATTCATTACAATTTTATTCTATATATATATATGTCGTGTTATCCATATACTACGAACATCATCTTTAGTGGTTACTCATCTTGTGGGCGTTATCAGGGCTCAAATAATAAAGTATTCAATGCTCAATACACAATTTAATCAGGGAAGTCACAATGTTATAAACTTGAAACGGTAATTCTAATGATTTAGAGCTAGCGGGTTCACAGTCACCGATCATCGACTTCCAACTACAATATCAAACATAACACTCTATACCATGATTAACCAACGTTACTAAGCCACGTATCTCCAAAGAATGTCGTGATGGCGTCTCGATCCCGCTCGAGACTTAAATCTGTGCTCTAAATTCAAAAGCACTAAAAAGTAAATTAAAGAACATAGTGACTTTAAACAATAATAAGGTTTCATAACAGAAAAAGGTAACTAAATCCTCCTCCGTCATATATATATATATTAGATAAAGAGTCATATTGTATAATGAAGATGTGGGAATATTATCAATGAAAAAAAAATTTGAGGCGCACCCGACCGAACCGAGGGTAAATGATAAAGTCTGTGAGTCATTGTGTTTGTCACTTTTTGATACTGCTATATCTCAACTAGCATAAATCTTATATGATAAAAAAAATAAGAATGACATATTCAGGTTCTGTAACATAATATTACGTATATTATTTTTGACATAAAAAAAACTTAAAAAAAACTGACTTCTAGGCACTAAAATGTAAAAATAACTAAACGTGGGTTTTCATTTAGAATCGATACCTAATCAGATATTTTCGAAGTCGGTGCCAGCCGATGCAAAGCAAATCTAATATATTTCGATACGTAAAACACATAATAATTACCTATTAGATATTCATATCTTAAAATATTGTCGGCTGGCACCGACTACAAAAAAATCCCAATCGGGTCAGGCGTCTTCGAGTAATCGGTGAGCATACATAAAAAAAAGATTCCGACGAATTGAGAACCTCCTCCTTTTTGGAAGTCGGTAAATAAAATAAATACAAAAGGACCTTAAGACACACCCGAGCGAAGCTAGGGTAAGACGTTAGTAACTAAAATAAATTAAAGAAAACTTTGCAAACTATAGAACAAATCCAGTGGATTATATATATATACTAGCATTGCCCGCGGCTCCGCCCGCGTTCAGATGACCAAAAACTAAATTCTTAGGTGTTACATATTAGTATACTCTTACATTGCAGTTTTTGTATTTTTCCTCAGAAATAAGATATTTTCCCGCGGTAAAAAGTATCCTAGGATCGCGCGCTACATCGCCCGGTTTATATAGCTTGAGCAGGCGGTCGAGCGATGCGGGGCAGAGGGGATGGACTCGCCGTAGGCATCTCAATGCTCGCCAAGCATTAAAAATGTTTCGCTACTAATTACTTCTAACAACGATATCTCAAAAACTATTCATCTGATTGATTTAGTGTAAAGAGCAATTTTAATCTGCATTAAATGACTAAGCTAACTAAAATATTCATTTGGATAAGGATTAATACCGAACTAAAGAAAATAACTTTGAAAATAACGTAATGTTTTTAATTAAAAATGTTAACATAAAAGTGGTTATTGTAAGTCAACCGTAAGAGATAGAGATATGCTATCGCGGACTTTTTTGTAGCATTTTTATAGATTTTGAATTCTCTAGTACATTACTTAACTGTATCTTTGCTAGTTTACGCGGCGTTCGCGTGGAAAGTTCCCATTTGGCGAGATTTTTTGCGACCTCTTCAACATTTGTCGCCGTATTTCAGCTAATTTACATAAAAGCATAATAAATTATATACCTAAACCTTCCTCAAGAATTACTCTTTCTATTGTTGAAAACCGTATAAAAATCCGTTCAGTAGTTTTCGAGTTTATCGCGTTCAGACAGACAGGAGGACAGACAGGAGGACAGAAAGACGCGGCCGGGGGACTTATTTTTATAATAAGTATAGATACAAAGAATTAACTA